TTTTTCTGCTAATGCAATGCAGGAAATAATCATTATATCGAAATCTCGCTAATCGTCGGCAAAATTAAAATTTATTATATTATTATGCCTTGCATTCCGGTTTTACCGCAATATCATATTTATTCTAAAAAATGGATGATATAATTAATAAACGGTAATAATCAATGAATTATATTAAAGTTTACAGCAAAACATTATTTTGAATCAGATAAGATGTCTTTTATAAATTTTTGGATGCCGGAAAGAATGTCGTAAACCATCGTATCTTGAAATTTTAATTAGAAATTATGAATGTACTGTCCTCTAGAAAATGCATTTTTTAATCTTATTTTTTAGTTATTATGAATATTACGAAATATTTTAATACAGAGTCTCACTAAGATAGCAAAGGTCTGTGCTACTTTAGAAAAATTCTGTATTAAAATTCTTCATAATATACAAAGTAAAATATTAAAATTAAAAAAATGCAAGATATCATTAATCTTCTTTATAAAAAATCTTCAAATATTGTAAAAAGTCATTTTTTTCATATTAAACTTTTATCTTTTTGCAAACCTGAGGTGCTGGAAAAATTTAGTTTACGATATTCACCTGAGGTGCTGGAAAAATTTAGTTTACGATATTCATCATTTTCAGCATTCAAAACTCCTTGTCTGGTTCAAAATAATAAACGAAATATCTTTTTGTAAATTATTAGTGTTATCAGGAATACGCCATGAATACGATATAACGCAACGAGGTAAAAAAAAAAATATTACGAAAGTATAGCAGGTTCCGTGTTGCATGTACTACGTATACAGTCAGGACGTATGCTCGCAAAAAACCCGGATGCACGCCCGTACGCACGTGTGCACGCACGCATGCAAGCACGCACGCGCCGTTAATTAGAAACGCAAGGGATACGCAGTACGGGATCGCACGGCTTGAAAAATAAATACTCCAAACAGCGTGGGGCGAGAAATGCCAAACATTAGCCAGTATCTGGCGGAAATCTAACGGAGATAAACGCGCAGTGGTACATCCGCATTCGAAAGAGAATTTTATATATTCATTCCTACATGCTGCAGTTAATTGATAAATTATTAATAAATGAAGATAAAGTATGCGAAAATAACTGATGGATAATATTTACGTTATGAAATGCAAATATAGATAAATATACAATATAGATAAATATACAGTTTGAATATAAGCTATCTTGAATTTATATATATAAATTTAAAAAAGAAATATATATATATATTTGTGTAAATATTATTATATTTATAATACTTAAAAAGAAAATTATTAGATACTTAAGATTCTATCTACTGAATAATATCATCTATTACATTTTGTTCTTTAAATATATAGCTTGTTTTTTAACTTGTAAGCTTGAATCACATTTTTAACATATTTATCAATTTTAACATTTTTATCAATATTTTAAATTATTATTATTTTATTTTCATTTTTATTAATATTATAATAATGTATTATTTGTATCATTTACTTAATTTCTTGTTTAGATGAGTATTCACGTCGCATAGTCACGTTAAGAGAATACGTAATTGCAAATCTATAGCGGATTCTCGACAAATTAACAAACTTCTCGCACTTCGCGTATGTTATGTAGCAATTATCGATTATTTGAAGTTAGGGAGTTGAATTGCAATTAAGCGTTAAGCGTCAAATGTCGCTGCGGATCAACTATAAGATGATTATAATAAATTAATTATCAGATTTCAGGTGAAAGCGGAAAAGTGACCCTACTTCAGGCGATATTATTGTCTAAAAATAATACTCAGAAGCAACTTACAGAAGCGTTTTACTACCTTGAAAATTTTCTATCAACACGGAAACTAATAATAAGAAGCAGTTATCACGTTCGCATTGCGAATCGATTGCACGCCGTCATAAATCCGACATAAAACAGACAATTTAAAAACATCAGCATTACTAAGTATTATATTTCTCTTAAGAAAGAATGTCGAGTACTGCCTTTAGCTTCCTCGCGAAAGAGAAAGCTTTTGACTAAATGCAATCTGGAAATCGAATGAAGCCTCGGGTTTGGAAAGTTATTGTTTAATAATGCATTCGTGCATTGGATCGTGCAATTTAGATAGGAATAACCCGCATATCGTTCGAATTTTTGCTCGTTGTAAAATATAATTGTTCCAGAGCTTGTAGTCGTTTCTACGAGGTCGTAAATTCGCGTCGCTCTCTCGATTTCTCGAAAGCGTCGCATTTTGTAAGCGGAATTAACGGGCAAGAATGATCGATCGTACTCAATAGGATCACATGCGCTTGGCTCGCTCGCCAACCACGATTATTTACGAGGCGCAATAAGTCGCGTGAAGGAGTATGTTTACGTGGTACAGCTGCTTCCAGATGCACGCGTACGAGCGACGCAGCGGAAACAAAGACTCGCGGCGCGATTCTTTGGCAGCGCGCTCGCGAGTGCGGGCTGGACGCGCCGCGATTCTAATTATCTAAGTCTGTCACGGCCACAAACACAACTGGTGCAACGAGCACAATGGGCTCAATATCCGGTCGAAGAAATCGTGATGCGCGACCGTCAGTCTTCCCGAGGACACGCCGATTCGTCTCCGACGAGTAGTTCCTTAAAAATTGAAATTATCTTGAAATTGCTATTTAATCCGAATCCTATAGTTGCATATAAGGAAATCAACAAAGTTTCGAAACGATACGTTGCGTTACTCTTGTATGAGTAGATTGTATCGCAATCATCGCAATATATTTAGAAAAATAAAAAAACGTGTGAAGAATGTACATTTTTAGAAGATTAAAAAATAGAACTGGAGAGTGTACATTAATTGCTATCGTTAAAAGTTTTTATAGACGCAGTGAATATCTTCCGCTCTTTCGGAGTGATGTGTTATTAAAAGCTATATCGCTATGTATTTTTAGAAAATTGAGAAGACAAAATAGAAATGATATTAGTTTTGTTATTAGTTTTGTTTAATTAAATATTTTTGCAAATAAAATCATTTCTTAACTAGAGAAAAATTTATATATATTTTTTAGTTCAATCTTTCTTATATGATAGTTTAATTCTGAAACAAAGTTACTTCAAAATTTATTAAGTTCGATTAGACATTTTTCTTCTTATACTATTTTTAAAGACAGGCACTCTATCACTTTCTTTAAAAATTAAATAGAAGGAAAGAAAAATATGACGCAGTTATATTGGCTTCTATTATTGTCGAATGTTCTCAAGTGCAGCCGACATTCTTTCCCCCCCCCCCCCAGGAGGAAAACAATAGAGTAATGTCAATACTCTTATTAACATCTAATTAATTCTTAAGAAAGTGAATGTTACGAAACCTACGGGCATGAACTCTTTCGTGAGATGGAACACCGCTGTATATAAAAAACGTATATAAAAAAAAAATATAATAATCGACTCTCACTCACGTGCAATATTTCGATACCATTCCAGTGATTTTCGATTAGTCCCAGCGCAAAGCGTTCAGATTGATCGCGCTGATAAAAATCTAGACGCACGTGAATCAGTTTCAATACGGAGTCAGCCTTAGCGTGATTTTTGCGCGTGTATTACGCCGACTGCGAAATAGCATTTTTTTTTTTAATCCGCGTTATATTAAAGAGAAACAGGTTTGCACATTTATTTATTACCGCAAATTAGAAATGTCAAAGACAGCCAGTGTCACGAGATCATTTGCGTTTTGCTTTCAAATTAATTTTAATTCGAAAGCAAAACGCAACATGTTGTGAAACGATTTAAATCCATGAAAGTCTGACTCAATAATATTACGAATATCGGGATTTTTTTCCTTTCAATGATACATTTGTAACACGTTGCAGAGAAATGAAAAGTTGCTTCTACGTCGAGAGATGCCAGAAATGGCATCACCCACGAGCTGCAGCGTACATCGGAGCATCAGCGATTAATTCCAGTCTCAATCATGTCAATCTGAAGAACGAGATAACACAATGAAAAAAATTACTGGAGAGCTCGACTGCCTGCCTTCGCTATCCGAACTCTCTCTATTTTTCTGCACGTCTTTCATTCTCAAAGAACAATGATTTCATATTCAGGTATATGCAGCTTCATTCTCTTTCGATGCTGTTTAATAAATATCGGCATTCGGCTCGAGTCAGCTCAGCAGCTTAAAATTGAATAAAGAATTGAATAAAGAATTATGAATAAAGAATCTTGGACTCGATATTCGATTCATATTTCAGGAATAGACAAGATATTCTTGACGGCTTTACTTCTACAAGTAATACAAGAGAAACAAAACGCAAGTTCGCGTCGTGTATTACGCGTATTACATATCGCAAGTTAATTTGAATAATGTTATGCTCTGCATGCAAACTTGAAAATCACCTGTGTCACAACTGGTATGAGCCAACTGGGTAACATGGTATCACCCGCGGGTCGCGCCGGAGGATCAGTAATCGCGCAAGGACATTGCACGTCAGCCTCGTGATAATCGTAAATCGTAGAGACGCGAGCTCGTTCGCCAAGTAATATCATAAAATATCGTCGGCAAAGCCGAAAGTCGAGTAGCTGTCAGGCAGCATTAACTTTCTTATCTCGTTGGACTTAGTTCGTGTTGCTCGAAATTAATTACGCTACTGTTATATACAGGTTTCGTCGTGTAAACCATGACGTGGTGCAAAATATAGAAACAGTCAGAATAAATGAAGTAATCGCAGCGAAGGAGAGAGAGTTTCGTTCTGAAATACGACCATTATGAGTAGGGACGATCTGCGCTCGCTGGAGATCCGCGATTGCATCCCGTCGTGGATCGCGTCCTCGCGAAGCAAATGGAGCCCGCGCGCTCGCATGTAAACAAACGGAGCTGTCAGTCGGATCGATGTAAATGCTGAAGTAACAGCTGTGCGCCGCGCGGAATCCCGAAACGGAACAAAGAACGACGACGGAGAGGAGCGCGAGACGGAAGGAGACAGACGGGTGGGCATAGATGGAGAAAGAGAGAAAAAGAGAGCGAGAGGAACAACCTACGTACCGTAGGAGAATCGAAAGAGTTTTGTTGTTGGCGCATTCGAGGATCTTCTTCTTCTCCCAGCCCTCGACCGTCTTCACCCATTCCTCGCCCGGACTGCGCCAGTCCTTGGATATGAACGGCATTCTTAGAGCCAGGCAGGCGAGGGCGATGACGATGACGATGACGATGACGACGACGACGACGACGACAACGACGGGAGATTAGAGCGACACTCGCAATACCGAGACGGCGCACGGCGCACCTCGCCGTGTCCACGGACGTCGAGTATATGCCGTGCGCGTCCGCTGCGCCTCGCGGAACGACTCGTTTCTTCGCTCACTTGCTCGGCTCGCTCGCTCGCTCAGTCTCGCGCCGCGCCGAACGCGCATGGCTTTGTTTAGTGACGTCACGGCAACATCAGCTGTGAGGGCAGCGCGCGAGCGCGGCGTCCGTCACCGCACGCGTCAAGCTGGGGCGCTTCCGGGTGAGGGCGCGTCATATCTACATGTTCGCATGTCAATTGATTTTTTATCTTTCTAAAAATTTAAAAGAACCGAAAAAGAGATTTGAGAAAAGAGAAAGTCCAAGTCCTCTCTTTCTCTTGTGTTCATTCGCATTTGACGATAAATCTGGATCAAGACAGGTCTGAATCAATGCGTTCGAACGATTCTCACCTTAAATGGGAATTCATAACGCCTGTGATGTCTGATCTGCCATGTTATAATTATTTTGAATATTTGGGTACATTAATTTATCTTCATTTGCAGAACACGCGAAAGAGACGCGATGCGATAAAAATAATATCTGTTATATCTTTATATTCTATATTCCGCATTCAGATGTCATCTATTATCGGCAGCAGAAAGTTCCTCGACAGATCCTCTGATTCTCTTGTACAGCGGCGCTCTCTGTTTTTGTATTATATAAGTATCGAGTATCGAATGAATCGAAGATCATAATTTGTAAATTAAAGAATATTTAAAATGGGTCGCACGGAAACTTCAATATTTTTACTTCTAATTATGCTTCAATATGTATTCAATATGTATATCCAATATTTTTTCAAAAGTCAAATCGATCAATTCAATTTTTTATAAATTTTAAATTTTATCAATTTTCTTTGCTTTATTTCTTTTTATGATCAGTTTGTATTTATTTCCACCAATGTAGATTAATTTCAATTTATTTTTAATTTAATTCTTTATCCTTTTCTAATTCTTAGAAAATTAAAAAATTAAATTAAAAGATTTTTATACGAAATTCTGAGGATGTTATTCATAGTTCATTTTATTCAAGGACTGTCTTAAATAATGATTTATAAAATATTAAGATTCTGTAAATGTAAGATTTTAAGTATATCCTTAAGACAATCTAAAACATAATAAATAACTATTGAATATGAATATTGACCTGAGAATGAGGAAGTTCAGAATTAATCCCTAAATTATTCTTTTTACAAAAGAAAGCCGAATCTTATAATCATAATAAGTATTTTTATTGAAAAATTTATTCTTATTCGTTAAACTTCTATATCCTATGGAAAATGAAAGATTTATTAGTTTCTTGTTGTTGCTTAAAAAAGAAATAAATTATTTCGAGATTAAAATTAATTTACATTGATAAAAATAGACACGAGAGATTCATGTACCAATTATCTATTTCATTAAATTTACTTCTTCAATTCTTCTCTCTCTCTCTCTCTCTCTCTCTCTCTCTCGAATTAACAATTATATAAAATTAATTAGATAGAATTAATAAAAATTTTTTTCCAGGATTTGAATTCGCCTAAGATTTATCATCTGATTCCTCCTGGAAAATTCATCGCTGTTAAAAGGGCGCCTGAAAAGTTCACGCTTATCCATCCGCTACTGATCTCCGGGTGCACATGACGTGGCGGGCATGCGAATCGGACCGTCACGGCCACTGACAAGCGGAGTAGACGCGCGCTCGCGGATCGAGTAGTCCGAATCGCATCGCGCCGCAAGCAAATCGCTCGTCAAGCGCGCAACATGCTCCTCGCATCGCTCTGATTGAACGTCACGAACATCGCTGTTAATGTTGTACGGCTCGCCCGCTCGATTGAAGGTACGTACAGCGTCGTGCCGTCCCCGCATCCGCGTTTCACAATCGTGGGTAAACGCGAGCTTATTTATCACGTTGCGTATATAACACGCGCAGTTTAGCGCGCATTTGTACGGCACGTGCTCTCGTGCGACTCTCTCTTTTCCTCTCTCCTTCTTTTTCTCACGCAATATTTTATCCTCATGCTGCCCAATGACAGGAAATGGATCCAGGTATTTATTCGACCGTGTCGCACCGTGTCCTCGCATTGATGAGGTCGTGCATGAAGCAAATAGCGGATTAAATTAGATAGATTGTGTGTATCTCTCAAGTTTTGCCGTAGGAAACAGAAATTTCATCGGACATATGACGTCACCTATGCGGATGTGCAGAAACATGTTCTTATCAGCACTATCATTCTAATGTTTACATTAAAATTGAGGTGCAGTCTACTTGGGACGTCTCGAATCTTAATCGATTCTGCGTGTGCAATTCCATTCTGGCGTGATATCAAGAGAAAATTTATACTTCAAAAATAAAATTTGCATGCATATGTTATATTGCTGTCAATTGTATATTTTAATTATCATGTCCATATCATGATTGTAAATATGTGCAACATGGTAAAATATATTATAAAATAAGGAATTTTACCTATTTATATATGTAGAAGTAACATGTCAAGTTCTCACAATGTTTCTGAGTGCCAGGATATTCTTCCTTATTGCATCATAAAAGAGTAATTTCATGAAAGAGTGATGAATGTCCCTGTTTCTTTATATTTGAACATTATCTTATGCAATAGAAATCTTACTGTTTACATTTCTTGTGCTTACATTTACTTGGATAAATTCGCTGGCGATAGGAATCTCTTATTTAATCGCAACAAATCTTTATCATTGTTTGAATTGTGATATCTTATTTCTGTATGTAATTCTATTAATTAATATGTGAATAACACATCTTTATTTTATGATGCAATGTGTGATTTGTTAGAGAATGTGGGCAAGGAGACAATTCTGAAAGTGACAGACTGGTTGCGTGGAATCTGGGAAATGAGACGGCGTGCCGGTGGACCGGTTCAGCAATGGATTGACTCCATACCATCGTCCGCGAAAACGGACATTCCCATCGCGAGCGAGTGCCAAGAGCGTAGTCCAGACCGAGAGCATGAATCGTTAACACCAACCGAGCCTAAGGACATTCCATTTTCTAAGGACCAGAAGCCTCCACGTATGATTGTATCGGCGCCTATTAATGTTCCTAGTTCTCCAGCGATGAATACACCGCCATTACCAAGGTACTCAGAAGCAGGATCAATAGATATTCCTATTTTTACCATAACAGTATATTGAAATGCAAATGTCTGTGTGAATTTTTCAGTTCACTTCCTCACAGACTGGCACGAGATGCAAGCTTTCAGTCGGACAGCAGTCACTGCAGTAGCGTCGAGAGTTTACTAGAACTGCGAAAAGCGGATCCGGCAGCGATTCTGCTTGATCTCGGTTTTGGCGGCAGCACAGCCTGTCAGGAAGAGAACGGCATAATTTCTCGCATTCCTAAGAGATTCCTACAGCCATCATCTTTACGAGGCATCGACGTAGATGAATTTCTTAAGCAACAACAGGAGAGCAATGAATCTTTTGATTCAGTGTCTTTAGGATATAGAGGCCTAACAGGTAAAATAAATTTTTCAATAGCAATATTTATAATGATTATACTACAAGATTCAACTTTCTTTTGTAGAAGGGATAATTTAAGAATAATTCTCAGATATTCATAATTAGTTCTTATATATATTTAAAACTGTCTTAAAGATTATACTTAAGATCTTACTCAAAGTCGTAACATTTTAAATCATTACTTAAGACAGCCTTGAAATAAAATGGGCTATGAATATCATCCTCAGAATCTCATGTGAAAAATAATAAGAATCTTAGAGTTGTAAGGTTTATTAGTTTAGTATTATCATAAACGAATTAATGACAACTTTTTATAAAGTTGTGATGAATTATTATATTTATATTTCTGGATACGGAATATATCCGCAAACGTTTTTCCATATAATAATTTTGTAGGAAGCAATAGCACGCCTACACGTGTCCGACAGCGCAGAATCTCCGGATCAAGTAATTTTGTAAGTCGCGTGAGAATTTGATCGGAACTGTTTTGATGTATTTCTTTAAAATTAGTCTAAATTTAATTTAAAAACATATAGTTTTTGTTGTTTCTGTTTTTCATTTTAGTAAGCATTTACATTATCTTGTTTTTGTTTATTTTGTTTTTTAGTCAATAAATGATGTTATTTCCATTTGTAAAGGTATATATTTTCTTTTGTATTTATATTATTTTGTGAAGACATTACGCTTCTTTCAAAAATTTCAAAATAATTTCTGTAAAAGACATATATGCACAAAAATAGTTTTTATTGTAGACGTGCAATTAGTTATGTGTGATTTAGTATTAAATTAATTTGCATGAATAATAATAAAGTATATAAAGGTAATATCATGATATAATGCTTAAAAAAAAGTACAAATTGAAAATGCGATTATTAACGATAGAGCCAAAATATCTTTTCTAATGATATCTCTTGTATAATAAAGTAGCATTTAACATTTGAAATTATGTACAATAATGTTTTAAAAATATGCAGCCAGTAGAAGTAGAGCATTTATTAATGCAAATCGTTATACACTATCTTATATATCATTCAGATTGTACATGTTTTTTTATTTTACTTTGTGTATTTTATGTGTATTTTATGTACCCTATCTAATTTTATGGATTATTATTATTAATGGTTGCGTTCAGTAGAAAAAGCAGCTTTGCAACTATTGTAAAATCCTTCAATATGATTGGTTTACATTTAGATCCATAAGGAACTAAGGGCAAAAATCAATTATAGCAAAGATTTTTATAACAGTTGCCAAGCTGCTTTCTCTGCTAAACGCAACCAATGATTTGAATATACAGAAAGATGTATCTCATTTTTTATATTTTTGAAAGGATCGCCATATGTAGCTCCATCGGAGATTGTGCAAAAGATTATGGAACGCTTACGGGAGCACGATAGCCATGAAACGGATACGAGTTTGTATAATTGCGACCAGTACAGTCCAAATGTGCAAAATGGAAAACTTTCCGTGTTGTCTCCCGATAACAGGCAATTCTTGGAACGATCACGTTCCAAAAGTCCTGACATGCGCAACAAGCGTATGATCATAGGTAAAAATCTGAGTGTAAATAATCTTATATTAACATTTAATTTATATCATTATTTAAAAATTGACAAAATGTTTTTTCTTTCTTGCAGGACAAAAGTCATTTGCTTTCGGATGCGATGGAAATTTAATCGAAATACCTACCAATAATACGAAACTTATGTTGAGTGATACGGAAAATGATCGTGATAGTACATTGGATATCGATGAATCTATAGAATTAAAGCAATCTCCAGAAGAAAGTATACCATTCGAACATCGATATCTTTCAAAGAATGGCAAAAGACTAGCGAAACAATTATCATTTGATGATACCGTCGAATTTTTTGAAACTGACCAATTATCAAAAGACAATCGGAGGACCTCGAATAGTTTAAATATTGCTCAAAGTGGCACAAACATAGATAATAGAGAACAAGAATGTAATGCACCGGATACAACTTTCAGTTGTAGGAAACACGAATTTTGTGATATTCGAAGGGCTAGCGATGGTTCGTTCGACACTAAAACCTTAGAAAATAAAACATTTTACGGAGGACGTCGTTTTAGCGATGGCGCAATGCGTGTTATTGAAAGTCAAAGCAAGGAGTATACGTTAATGCAAAAAAGAAGAAGTCTCAGAAGACAGTCCAGAGTATGTGATACAACCGCACTGACTTGCGATCTAAGTCCTATTAGATCTAGTATACCAGAGATAGTAATAATAGAACCTAACGTAGATAATAAAGGGAAAACATCAAATGACGTAAATGATAATACACATCAATTAAATTTATCGGAATCACTCGAGAATAAAAGCGACTTAGCATTAAAAACAGATTCTTTACTTTCAGAATCTTTACTTAGAAAACCTAATTATATGCCTTCGTCATCAAATGTTAGTGAATCTATCGATAGATTAGAATGTTTCGAAATTGCACACGAAGATTCGGCATCGAGTGATCATTCTTGTACGGACGATAATCAAGTTTGCTGTTATAAAGCATGTAAAGATCGCAAACACGATAAAAATTCTTTGGACTGTTGTCGCATTGACAAACGAAAGTATCGGAAAAAGATGGAAAAAATTATGCAGGAAAACAAAAGATTAGAGGATATGTTAGCAAGAAGTAGGAGAGAGGTGGCAGAGATTCGCGATATGCTGAGCAGTGTATTATCAGTCAGGATGGAACCGGGATTTTGAATGAAATGTTAGAATGATTGCCAATTTCGGTAAAAGCAAAACTATCATCTTGTGATATAGACCAATACGTGTATTAGAAAGAATTAATACTTTATAGAATTTTGGATTTTCTATTTAACGTTTTGAACTGATCTATTCTATTTTAAAAATCAAATATTTTCGAAGTTCATTTTTTGAAAGATATTAACAAAAGATATTTCTATAATGTACATATATAAAAATGATCTTTTAGCATCTATTTTTATGTAAAAAACTACACAAACAGAAATATGATACTTAATTATTTCTGTATATAAGGGATGCAATAAATTTATTGTTATAATCATTATTATCTTTTCCATGAAAGGAGAAGTTTAAAAGAAGATAGATTTATTATTACATTATATTTTATCAAGATTGGCATATATGTACCATGATTAAATATAAATTTTGATTGAGAAAGAAAACTTATATCAAGCATTTATATTAAACATATCATTGATATTTTGGGATTAAAAAAAGTTTACTTTCATAAACATTATCAGGATAATTGGAACATTAAATATGAGGTCCAATTTTGTAAATTAATGAATTTTTCGTCACTTTATTTGAACTTTTATACAAATTTGATTTTAGTTGCATAAATTTATAGTAATTTTTTTCTTGAATAATTTATCCAAGACGATTGATTTGATCTTACATTATTTATTTATATATATATATATATATATATTATATTTTGAATCTTTTTTTATCTGAAATTTTATTTGTTACATTGTAAATCGTATACATTCTCATTACATCCATTAATATTTGATACATTTGTTAAGTTTGAAATGTTAAATTAATATTTGTTACTGTGTAATTACATTTATTGTGAATATCTCTAGCTCAGTTGAAAAGGAACAGTGTTATAGTTTTATCTTGTTCATGTTTGATAGAATTTTTCTGTATAATTTATTTAATATATTAATCATATAATATATACGTATGCACAAAAGACAGATTAGCTGTAAGCTGAGAAAGCACAATCGAAATAATGAAAGTTTGATACTTTCATTACTTTCTCAATAATTATATTCATAAACATCACAAGAAATGCTGGCCATTCCGTACTTTATACACAGAAAGAACTTGAGATCTAGTCTTTTACAACTTTATCAGCACAGCGATATGTTCAACTATTAATTATTAATCTTTTGCTTTTTTCTTATATCGCAATCAAAATGTGCTTCTACGGAATTTCCAAAAAATAGTTCATGTAGGTTTTGGGTATCAATTATCAAGAGAATTAATTCATGCTGCCATATGGGAGTAGTTCTTAATTAATGATATATTTCCACATATCACACTATAGGCATAGATGATATATATTAATTTAGCTTTAATCTAACAACATAATCAATAACTGATATATTAAAAGAAATTCTATTTGTGTCAAAATAAAAAGATGATCTAATTTCAAATAAAACAAACTGTTTTAATGAATAACAATTGCTATTGTTTGAGCACATTTAAAACAAAATCAAATAATGCGATATATTCATTCCGTTGAGATCGATCAAATACTAATTATTTAGCATTAATAACAGAACATTATCTACTATATATTGGGAAAGGATGAAATAAAAGATATTAAATACATTAAATTAATATCTATATATATTATGAAATGTATGTATATAAGTCTGTCCATTTTTTACTTAATGTTTAAAATGCTAACATCAATTGGAAGTTTACTTTATATTACTAAATGTGGTTTTATTCAATTTTCCTCAAGTCAGTATCGCTTAATAAATGAAAACATATTTTATTTTGTCATGATATAATAATAAGAAGAAGCACAGAATTGTATGATCATCCAATTAAACCGATTGAATCAGAAACTTTGGAACGTCAACATTTACATAAGAAATTTTCCATAATGAACATCCACATTTTACATGATAAATCAGTCCATCTATGATATATTTTCTGAATTCTTACACAATTATCAAATCATGAACTCCTACTAAGACACGTATTATTTATATAAAGTACATAAAAAATAGTTATACAAACATAAGAGTATTGTAGAAATAAGATACAATAATGTATAATTGTGGGAGAACTCAATAAATATTTACCACAATCGATTTTATCATTTTTTTTTACATATATTAACCATAGTTTGCATCTATCGAATTTATCAGCTAAACACGCTGCTAAACGTACCATTTATAACACTTCATAGAAACCAACGGTTTATACTACAAAATACCCAAAATCTATTTCAAATGTTTTTTACTTTTTAAAAATGTAATCACGAAACTATGTCATATTTTTACAAATTGTAAAAAATTGAAGTAACGTAATTTGCAGATATATCGAGATCAAATTTTTTCTAACGACAGAGACAAAATACGATCATCAATAATAATAAGTTAACTTTGTACACAAGTGATTCTCTTTGTGAGCCCGATAAGATATAAATGCAAGTTGCTTAATTACTGGAAATTTTTGTTATATTTTACAATTAAGCAGATACAGAAAAACTGGCCTAGCGTCGCCTGTAATAATTATGAGAATTTTTTTATAAAAACGCTTGTTCTTTATATCATTTGACTATCGAACAATTTTTTAAATTTAAAAAAATGTAATTTTATAAAGAAAGTAATATATATATATTAATATCTAATAAAGCAATATATATAT